AAGAGCAAAAGAACTTTGCTTTTCTTGACCTTTTCAATGTAAAGCTCGACGTCGCAATACTGTTGAGATCAGCTAGTCAGAAGAACTCAAGAAAATTGGTCACAGCAAAACGTAGCTTGACACTGTTGTTGAATTGCGGTGATTTCGCCAACGTCACGTTCGCCAACGTCTTTGGTCGCTTCGCCAACGCGATGAGTCGCTTCGCCAACGTCCTACTGGTCACTTCGCCAACGCCAAATATCTAGTAACAACTTAGTAATAACTTAGTAAAAAGGGTGCTTACTGATGCTTCGGATGTAATGCTGATATTTGGGTCAGAACATTTTTAAGTTAATGCTAGTTTCGCTTGGCTGACTTCCAAACAATTTGCATATTTTTGACAGATCCAGAAAAAGCCGGCGTGTGAGCACTAACATCGCGGTAATTTAAAACTGTTGAATAACAAACTCCGATGGCTTCCAAATGTGTTCCAAAAATGTATAACTAATACATTGGCGAAGTGACCAGTAGGACGTTGACGAAACGACTTTTCACTTTGGCGAAGCGACCTAAGACGTTGGCGAACGTGACGTTGGCGAAATTATTCGTTGGCGAAATCACCAGATACCCTGTTATTGCATGGACTATACTATAACAAAAGATGGCCACGCAGCACACAGAAATTTCTTCGTTCATATCAACCCTAAAACCTTTATGACAAAGCAAGTAAAGGAAATCACTTACCTTTACATACTCCTTCTCCATTTTTTTCAAATCCGTCATAACAAGAACACTCTCCGTCACCATCACACTTACTTCCATGGGGACCGCATTTACATTTCATTTCTGTAAAAGTAAATCATTGTATTTGCTTGTTAAGCTGGACAAAAGCAAAAAGAATTTTGCTTGACCTCTTCAACGAAAAGCTCGACGTCGCAATACTGTTGGGGTCAGCGCAGTCAAAAGAACGTAAGAACAATCAGCCATGAGAAGAAAATTGGTCACAGCAAAACGTAGCTTGACACTGTTGTTGCATGCACTCTACTATAACAAAAGACGGCCACGCATCACACAGAAATTTTTTCATTCATCTCAGCCCTAAGACCTTTATGATAAGGCAAGTAAAGGAAATCACTTACTTTTACATACTCCTTCTCCATTTTTTTCAAATCCATCATAACAAGAACACTCTCCGTCATCATCACACTTACTTCCATGGGGACCGCATTTACATTTCATTTCTGTAAAATTAAATCATATGCATTTGCTTATTAAGCTGGAGAAGAGCAAAAAAAACTTTGCTTTTCTTGACTTCTTCAATGTAAAGCTCGACTTCGCAATACTGTTGAGATCAACTAGTCAGAAGAACTCAAGAAAATTGGTCACAGCAAAACGTAGCTTGACGCTGTTGTTGCATGCACTCTACTATAACAAAAGACGGCCACGCAACACACAGAAATTTTTTCTTTCATCTCAACCCTAAGACCGATTGCTGAATATTTTTGCAGCGATCGCAGCGATCATATCTTAAAAGCTTTTTATAGTTTTTTAAGCATTGTCCAGTTACCACCTCAATTTCAATACTAATTAGGCGGCGTGTGCGCGATTGTTTGCGGAGGAGCTTAGCATATATTGATATTCTCGCGGGAAGTTTTAAATAGGTCACTTGTATTCTCGTGGAAGTTTCCAAAGAACAAATTTGGAGAGAACACTACGATGCTGAGCAAACGTTTTCGAAATTCGCGTTTTGCGACTTCTTCCAAAGTTTGAAATCCCTTGAAAATTTCTATGACACTTTCTAGAATGTCAAATAAAAATAACCGTATGGTAAAAGAGAAATCTAGCAATTGAGTGAAGATAAATTACGCCTGAAAGTGCGCTAAGATCGACTTCTCATACAAGCAGGATGCTAACATAATCAATTTTCAAGGCAAGTTTGCGACCTCTTCTGAAAGCGCAAGAGCAAAGAGAGAATGATATACTGTTCAATTAACCATTCTTCTTTAAAAGCCATATGGTAAACAAATAGAACGTAAGTCTTCCTCGACATTTTCAGCCCTTTTTCTCCATGGTTTGACAATCTTTTTCTAATTAGCTTTTAAATTTAGTGCCAGCGTCTCAATGAAAGTTCCGGATATGTCGCTGAATTCTGGGCGATGCCGTTGGGATCAGCTAGTCAGAAGAACGCAAGAAAATTGGTCACAGCAAAACGTAGCTTGATACAGTTGTTGCGCACGGGAACTGTGTTGCCCTATTCCAGCAAAGTGTGTGCAGAAGGCTCTTGAGTAAACTAAACCGATACTAGAGAATTCTCGCTCCGATTTTACAAACGCGGGGAGATCGAGTAGTTTCTCAAATCGAAAATTTGAGAAACTACTCTGTGTGCAGCAGCAGACCTTTGGGGCAGCAAACTGTTTGGTCAGGATCAGGGATTTAAATTATTCAAACTTTTACGAAAAATCTCGAATTGGAAGTTTCGGTGGTACTTACTCACGCACTCGTCGCCAACTCCCTTCTTGTATCCTTTTTTACAATGACATTCAAAGGCGCCTATCTTGTCTACACAGACGTGCTTAGCTGGGCAAGGGTTTGAAGAACATTCGTCTATGTCTGCATGTACACAATGGAGATAAGATAAATACACGCAATGGTAGCCCTAAAATAGGTCTTCTTTTTTTTGTTTGATTGCAATGTTTTCTGCTCATGCGCCTCTGAAAATTTGAGGGGTTTGTCCAATGCACGAAACTGCTACGATTCTTCAACGGAAGTCGATTCGCGGTTAATGCATCTCGCTATACCGGAAATCGGATAAACCAACTCTCATTAGATGAAAACGCATACTGGAAGTACTTCGCAAGTATTTGTCGAGGGTTTTTAAAAATGTTGTCGAATCGACTCGATTGGACTCGAGTCGAACGACTCGTCTAAGTTTAAGTCCACCCGTCATACCAGAAGTCTATTTGCAAGACAATTTGAAAATATTCCGCAAGTAGCTACTAAATGGGGGAATAAATGATGTCGAATCGACTCTATTAGACTCGAATCGAACGACTCGTCATAGTTGATGTCGACCCGTCATACCGGAAGTCGATTTGCAAGACACTTAGAAAATTAACAACCGATGTAAAACCAAAACATTTAAAAAAAGCTCTTTCCTTTAAAATGAAGGACTGTGAAAAGAGGAAATAAACGAACACGATCTTCGTTAAAGCCAGACATGTTGCCGTCAGGTCGCACGTCTCCAAAGTTGTCGTTTTCTAAACAAACACTTAGAAAGGAGGTAATCACATGACAAATCTTTTGACTTCCGGTGAGACGGATCGTTTTGCTAATGACGAAATCGTGTCGACCCGTGCGAATCATGTCGATTCGTAAACATTCGATACCCTAATTTAACGCTTACTTCTGCGAATCGAATTCCGGTGACGGATCGACTTTACTAATGACGAATCTAGTCGATGCGTGCGAATCGTGTCGATTCGTCAACTTTGAATACCCCATTCTGACAATGGACTTCCGGCCGTTTCACGCTTTAAGAACGTGGAAGGTTCATGTTTTCATTTACTCTTTTCAACAGGCTACTCATTTTCACACATTGGTCACGCCCCTTGAATTTTGGTATGTTAACACACGATTCGACTTCCAGTATACCATGCTACTTATTTTCAGACATTGCTTACCACCCTCCACTTCCGGTATGTTAACAGACGATTTGACTTCCGGTGTGTCGATTTGTCCATGACCGTATACGAATCGTAGCGGTTCGGGTGTATTGGACATGTATGTCAACATTTATTTTGCAAACTTTTCCACCGGAGTTTATATTCTCCAATTGTTTACTCGGTAATTTCTTTAAAAAAATGATAATGATCCATAGAAAAACAAAAGTACATCCTTGATAACCAATTCAAAAACCTATAACATTCTACCAGTGGTAATCTGCCTCCCTTCCATTGGGTTTGTTAAAGTGACTCTTAAATTGGAGATGCATCAACATCGCGCATCACTAGCACTGTTCACTGACACCAACTCGGAGCGAAAAATGAGCTTTTCGAAAATTCCGAGATCATTGTTTCTAATTTTTGGCGAAATGATTTATTTATTTCCATTATGCATACGTCAAGCGTTTCTGTCACCAATAATTGTTGCATTTATCCGGCACGACGTGGATGGAATTGTTGAGGGAAGTTTCAGAATGAAAACAATGTTTTCAAATTTATCAAGTTCAGGGCGAATGGGCCTCATACGAATAGCACTATTAAAGAATGCGAATGCCGAACAACAGCTACTTATCGTTCCAAAAAAAAATATCTTACCCACACAGGCGCCATCATTAGACTTCTCATAATGGGCTTTGCATTTGCAATAAGGATTGAAAGGATACTTGGGATGTGTAATACAAACGGAGTTGGCATCGCATTCATGTGTGACTGGGCACGGTAAAGACTCTGTGATAGATAACAATGGAATTAAAATATTACATTGAATTAAAGAAGTAATAGACTCAAGTTGCATTCTGACCACAATCAGTGATAGTTCATTTGAAAAATCTCTTTCGTTTTTAAATTTCAAATAACAATTCTTCTCTTTCTCTCTCCCCTTTGTCTTCCCTTTTTTAGTCACGAATAGCCAATCACGTCAAAGGACTCTAACCCTGACATTGGAAAACAGACGTGAACATTTTCCGCATGCTCTTGTTGCTTGTTTTAACTGAGGTTAATTGGTTTTTCTTTAAGTTTTGTTTGCGCAAATTTGTTACCCTTTTGTTTGGAATTTTACCAAGTCTCAGAAGTCTCGGAGCCAACTGTTGTGGTTCATTTAACTAGTTTAAAATTTATTTTCTACGTAGTTTGAACTAGTTTGAACTCTAGCCCCTGTTTTCTTAAATGAGTTTTCTAACGAAGGGGTCCAAAATTTAAATCAGAAAACAAACAATTCTTTTTTAACTTTTGAGCTTTAAGTAGGCTAGGAAATATTTCTGGAAAAGTAAATTTACATACCTAAAGTAGATTAGTAGTATGTATTCCATCATTGCAACAATTTTAGTGACAGACAAGAGGTTAAAACCCCACAAGTTTAAATGGCAGGGGACGGTTCTGATCTCCTACACTTCTCCATTGTCGCTAACATACCTGTGCAGTTTAATCCATTCCCGGCGGTCAGTCCAGTACAGTGACACATTCCTCGACGGCATTCGGCCTGTTGATGGCAATCCGAAGATCTATCACACCGATGTAAATCTATTTGAAAACAATAGTTATTTAGCTGACTGTTACTAGCGGTTGACAGAGAACAATAAACTGTCATTGCAAATTTTGAATAGCTTATAGATATTTAGCATTGTAAAAAATCCATTTACGAAAAAAGAGACTAATGTCCGAACTCTGTAGAAAATATGTATTAAAGTTTTTTAAATGAAAACTAAAATTTGGCTTAAAAGGACTTCATTATAAAAACCTAATGGGGATGTGTCGATGGATAGGGTCGCTTTTTCATGACTGGCTTGATCATAATGGGGTTGCATTTTCAGTAGAGTTACTAGAATGGGGTCCTACATTTTAGATTTTTTTTCTAGAAAGTGACTGGGTTGGAATTGCCCGAATTACATTTGCCCAAAAGTGACCGTAGCCTTGAATGGGGGTAGGGGGTTCCGAGAGGCCAGCGGCTTGTACCAAGCAAAGATCGACTAAAGTAATCCCCTTTCCTCCCTCTCAAAGAGACAACTACTTTCAAAAATTCTAAAAGTAATTTGGATTCGTTAAAACGGCAGCCTTACCAGGTTTCTTGCACTTATAATCTTCACAGCGTTCAGCCCCTTTGCAATGCCTGTCAGTCACGCAGTCTGAAGCAAATTTCAAGAAAAACATGCCTAGGTAATAACATGATTTCGAGTGCAATTTGGTGTATATAAGCAGGAGTAAATTTTTTCAAAGTACAACAAAGTTACACGAGCCTCGAGTGCAATTTGTAGTCTTGAAAATTTGCAAGTGCTTATTTAAAAAAAATTGCGCGAGAAATCATGTTGTTACTTGAGAATAATTTACATGAAAAAAGCATCACAGGAAGTCAAGACAGACGAAATTTTGACAGCGCACGTGCTATTTGTAATTTGCATTAGTGTCACAGCTTTACACTCATGTTATAGCTTTGCACTTGTGTTACAACTTTGCACTCGTGTTACAACTTTGCACTCGTGTTACATGAAAAATGACTCGTTCCGGCCAATCAGACGCGCGTAATTTTTTTCATGTACATCAAAGATAAAAAAAACTATATGTAATTAGGAACACCAGTCGATGAAAGCGTCATTAGACTCCAATTATTTATAGGGGAGAAATTGTACAAACTGAAAGTTTAGACAAGATATGTATTGTTGAATTTTTTATTGTTAAAAGATAAGGAAAACCGGCCTTCTAGCTGGATTTAAGGGAATATCCCTTTCTCAGGTATTGAATATTGATACACATTAATCAAAACTTACTTAGATGGGTTCCCGACTTTGGAAAATTAAATTCTCTGGCCCCAGAGCACTGTACCCCTCCCCATATATCTCTAAAAGCCCAAATATGAATTAATTATATCAATCAAGAGTGAACTTACCGACACATTGTTTATTAGAGGCAAACTTGTGAACCTGATTCGGTAGGCATTTGCAGAGTTTCTCTCTTGGCATATCTGGATCAACGTAACACCAAGCATTCTTACAACCAAAATAATAATCTGAGCAGTTCCAGCCACCTAAAAAATGTAGAATTCACATTTTTTCCGCTTGAGACTCGAAATGAAGAACGTTATCTTGATAAATGAGAGAGACGTTTCATCATCATGTCATAAAAGTGAGACAAAGGAAATATTCCCCGTGCGGAATTAAACCTCAGACCCTCGGATTGCCCGCCCTTACGCAATGCAGCACTGAGCAACAGAAACTCGACGATGAGCATCAATACATCGCTCTTTTTTGTCTCCTTGAATAGTTACCTCTGCATTCGTAGCCGTCTCCCATTCGTCCTCCTTGACAAATGCATAGTCCATGCTCGCACTTGGCCTGAGGAGTGCAATCTCTGTCCACTTTACATGGTTGATTTATCGCTGAAACACATGAATTAAAGCCGTAATCATTAACGAATCTCTGCACTGCAAGATTTTACCCGTTGAGATCATTAAATTATCTTCCTCAACCCTGTAACTACTCCAAGTGACCAAAATAGAAGGCTCAAGTTTCGGCTGGTTCGAATCATGAAAATATGAAGTTTTCAGGTAATTCACATGTCAAGTAATATTCACTGTACAACTTTGACATTCATTGATCTATGTTATTTCTGAAGAACCTTTGTCCCAAATAAAGGATGAGATTGCGCCCTTTATGAAAGCCGAAAATGACTTGAAAGATTTGAAAATACAAATGGCAGTGTCTTAAGAGTTTGAAAATCCCCGAATGAAGATCGTACACGGTAGCGCTAGCAGGGCCTGAAGCTGTAAGACCTCGTGGGACAGAAGATGCCCAAGGACAAGAGGAAAGAGAGAGACGAGCAATCGTATGATGAAATACTCATCAGAGACGTCGAGGCACCGGAGGGGAAAATATTTTGCTCTCTTTCTACGCACGCTCAGCTCTTCGTTACCTCGAGCTACATATTTTCCTGCCTACCACGACACCTTAAAAAGTTTATTATTATTTAGTAGGAGGAATGTTTTTCTGTAAAGGATAGGAAAAATGACAATGTTGCTTGTTTGTAAAATCGCTCTTAAAAAATAAGTGTCCTTTTTCGACGGTTAGTCCTTTTTAAACGTTTCATTCAGCGCGCCAAAAAAAATGATTAAAAAAAAGAGGCTTTAGATTGTAATTCGCCGTAGAATTCATGGAAAACCTTTACACAAAATTCCGTATGTTAGCCGCAGGGTTGGAAAAAGCCACAAAGCCCCGTGAACAGCGAACAAAAAGAAGAAAGGAAGAAGGAGAAGGAGCAACGGTCGCGCATAATAAAATGCTTGCTTAATGACTGCGTAAGGTTGGGCTGAACAAGAAAAATTTTGGCTCTTGATTCTGACCTTTAGCCAGAGATTTTCTCGTACGACCCTCCCCTTCCCCACTCAGACAATATGTTAGTATTACAGCCCCACATGGTGACTCACCGACACACACTTGTTTGTCGTTAAACTTGTATCCAAGCCAGCATTTACAGATGGGAGTTTTAGGAGGCAGAGGATCAATCAGACACGATGCTTTATCTCCGCAAAATTCCGTTTTCTTACAACTAACCAATCTTCTAGACTCTGAAAAAAGGAATTTATCGTATTGTGAGTGGATACATTTTTAATTTTTTCGTTAGATTGATCATTTAACTTCGATCTCTGATCATCTGCTGATGTCGAGAAAAGATTGTCAATCAATCTTGCGATGCTTGAAGACCTACACAAATTCCGCCCTTGGTCCTTCTGGTAAGCACCACGGATCTACAAGCTCTCGGAAATTAAATCGTTTACTCCAACTCGGCTGTCAAACGTTTCACGATACTCGATACACGCTTTATTTCAAAGTGAATGTCTCTTACTTTTGCAAGTTCTGCCGTTTCCTACATACATTCCCAGACAAATGCATTCTCCTTCCATACAAACTGCTCTTCTATCACAGTCTTTGGCCGTTGAGCATGTCGCCAGCCTCCCTGATTAAAAGGAAAACATAAGACAAAATGATCTAACAAAATAAATGAACCTTGATTATTTGATTCGAATTACTAACGCTACTTAGAATTAAAAAATAATGTGCTGCACGGCAGAATTCTGCAGATATCTTTTAGTGACTTAATTGCATCCTCGGTCCCCAGGAGTTCACTATCCATTTCTAATCCAAGGAGGGGAGGAGATGGGCATAAGGTCTTTGCACTCTTTTCATCAGCACAACACGATAGGGGCGACCCTAAAAGCCGGAACGACGGAACGGCGGAAAATCACCTTACATCCTTAAAGACGGAATGGCAGAAGATTACCCCAAATCCTAATAGACGCAAGGGCGGAAAATTACCTCAAATCCTAAAAGACGGAACGGCGGGAAATTACCCAAATCATAAGAGACGAAGCGGTCGAAAATCATCCCAAATCCTAAAACACGGAATAATGGTACACACTTCCCACTCATTATTGTCTGTTCTTTTGCTATATCACAGTGGTGTTCTAGTCGTGTACGTGAGTAAGATCTTTCCTCGGTTTGTTTGAGATTATTTTCTGTGGCTGTCGAGATGTTAGGTGGGTTAACAGGCTGACACGAGTTTTGCTGTTTTCGTGGTTAAGCTATTTTCGAGGTAACTGACCTTCAGACCTTTTAAAGCATGTCTTTAAATGATTTTCCCCCTTTTACATGAAACTATTGGAAGCCCTTTAAAAATCTCCTCAAGTTTAGGTTGCTTCTCAGTAATTTGCTAGTTGCGCGATAAGGTCTTTTTAAGGCTGGTCACTGATGGGTTATATTGTAACAAAAGGCGATGTGGTTAGTCGCACTTTGTATTTCTCTTGGAGTATTGTTTTCCTATCCATAAAATCAACCTCTGTAAGGATTCTTTCAATTAGATTATTTGGATGGCCCTTTTCGCGTAATCGCGTATTTGAGTGTTTGATGTTCTCTTAAATTTTTTTTTTTTAAATTAAGGTTTCTCTCATGTAAATGGCTTCGTAAAATCCGCGTATTTCTGTCACCTGGTTGACATAATACAAATTTTCTGTTTACAGGTCATATTCCCCACCCAAAGGAAAATACTTCATTCACAGTTACGTCGTTTAGGATTTGGGTTAATTTTCCGCAATTCCGTCTATTAGGATATGGGGTAATTTTCCGCTATTCTGTCATTCCGCCCTTCTGCCGTTTAGACCCAACTTGAGATCGAAACCTCGTTTCCCCGATCCGGAGCTTGGAAAGTATCAAATAAAGCAAACAAATTAGCGTGCAGTGCAGGCGTCTTATTAGGGCGAGTTAACTTTTAAGAAGCTCGAGATCGTTTACGCAACCGGCCATGTTTGATTTGGAGATAAAGACAGCTAGAAGGAGAAGGGGGAGTGGATCTGGGTGTGGGGGAGGAGGAAAGGCGAAAAGTAATATTTACCCCCTACCCACACCCCTCTCCTTATTTTTGCGCCCCCTGGCACAAATTACTTTTCTCTCCTCAGCCTATCGCTGCTATTAAAATCAAAGATGATGGCCATAATTGTCGCTGAGAAAATACCGAGCACTCGCTCGCCAAAATTACGCCCGCTCTGAAGGCTATCAACAAATAGGCCATAACTAATTTTGCAACGAATTCCATCTCTGAATAAGGGTGGCTTACACTGGTATCTACGTTTTTGACATTTAGCATAGGATAGACATTGTTTTTAGCCCCATCTGCACAGGAAAAAAAATGTTGAAATGATGAGCGACGCTTTACTGGCCATAATAACAATTGTGGCGGCCTTGGGTTGCATCCGAGACTTGCGGGCTCAGTTTTTCCCAATACGGACCTCCTGCTTGGTGAATAACATATGTTGCCCGTGATTTACATGAAAAAAAAGGAGTAAAAAATGAAATATGAGGGAACAATAGCGCGCGCAAATGTCTCGTAAACTTTTACATTACGTGTGCAATGTCGTAATAGTGCCCAAATTGGCTGTTGATGACCTAATATTGTTAGTCAATTTTTAAACCGGTATTTGAGCAATATCAGAGAAGTCACACGTTATCCGTTTCTCCGGTTTGTTCTTGCTCTCGTGTGAGAAAAATATCCGTTCAGAGGCTAAGTTTTCTCGAGCAAAGCTTCAGTTGAGTTCAATGATTTTCACATTGCGTCATGGCAAGAGCTTGTTGAAACCGTTCGAAGGAAGTTTTCATGAGAGTAATTTTTCTTCATTACTAGCTATTTAGATCTAATGTTTCAAAACTCTGCAAGAGAAAAGCAAACATGACTCTCCTAATAATCTGTTAAACCCTGGGCTCAGTTTAAGCATCGTTTCAGAGAGAAACTTTTGGCATCGGTCCAATAGTTTACTCGAACTGAATCAGCCTTTCATTCACAGAGAGCGAGTACTGAACATCACATACTTAAGGTGGGAAAAATCTTCCTACAAGAAAAGAAAAAACTATGGCAATCACTCCTTAGTATCCTTCGACAAAGATGCACAGAACTGATTCAAAATTCGGTATCTGGCGGGAAAAATGAACCAAATAGATTATTGGGTGAAATTGAAAATACATCTCTAAACTTACCGTAACGTCCAACGAGAGTTGTCATTGCATCGATTTGGCTTATGAAAACTATGATTACTACCAAAGTAAGAATGTTCCTTAACAAAGGTTGCATTTTGAAGGGAACGCTCGCCACTTTTTGAAGACCTCTAAGTTTAGATGCCCATTGTTCCACGAAACTAAGTGATCGAATAAGTCATTAATTGATTTAGCTGTTTTTAAGCGTCATAATAGCTTCTGTGAGAAATATTCGTGCGCGTAGAGGGAATGCTGAGATATGAGACCGCGAAGTGGAGGCTCTGCAGAAGCGCTGTGGATTTCTCAACTTATTATTCAATTGTACAAAGTAGAGTACGAATATCCTGCGATCATGTACGGTTATTTAGACATTTGGTTATTTTGTACTCTAAAAAACCTGCTTGACAGGTTGGCTTCACTTGCCTTTTTTTGGTTCACAGCCCTTAGCTCCTCAAGTAACGACAGCGATATATTCCTGCGAAGTGTCGTCGCCATGTGATTTAGTAGGATGATGAAAATGAAAATTAGTTCTGGAAATTATTTTTGATATTCTTAGAGCTCATCCCTGTCTTTGAGAGTATGTCTCCCGGTAGATTCAAAGCTTTGTTACTGGCGATAAATTATTCATTCGAAAAACCAACACTTTTGTACTTGCAGTACTTTTAACGGTGCACGATTTGAGAAAAAATTCTATAGGAAATTCATTACCTGACTAGGAAATTCCGCGTTAAACTGCACGCGAAAACAGATATTGCACGAATCACGAAGCTGAGCAAGATTGCCCGAGTAGTTTCGAGACTCGGGCAATTTTGTGTGAACATTGAAAATACGAGTGAAATTAATCCTTAATTGCCCATGCGATTACCTATACAAACAAATAGACACAAATGTCTATCTACATCTAACTACAAAATGTCACCAAAAGACCCAACGAAAGATGACAAACCTACAATCTGTGGCGTGTTCACAGATGTCAATGAAACTCTGAGCGGAGAAGTAATTTAAACGCTGGCACAAACTAACATGGTTAACGAGAAGAAAAAAACAACAACTGAGTCGAAATCAACCAAATGTCAAGAACTTGCGAATGATGCAAACACATATTGATGAGAGAATAATTCTCAACAGAAAAGCGAAAACCGAAAAACCTGCACTAAAGAACGCAAGCGCAGAAGATTCGTTCGAGATAGACCGCTGTGAATTTTCAAACATGGCGGGCACTACCTGATATTCTGTGCGAGCCACGCGGAAACAGTTATCCAGTGGTTTTATAGACCACTCCAAGGACAACGAAATTATCTTCTATGAGAGTTTTGTAACAATCGAAAACAGAGGATGGCTATAGATTAGGCAAGTAAGTGGTTAATATAAATTCGCATGGGCGATCAAACTTTGAAATTATTCCATTCCAGTTTAGTCTTGAGTCTGCTGATTGACATCTATGAAAGTTTGAAGCCCACTAAATATTTATTTTTCTTTTATTTGTGTCGCTGTCATTTCGTTTCGTGCTACTTGATTTCAGCACTACCCGTTTTTCTTCTGGAAATCGTCGTCGTTTTTCCCCTTGTTAACAGAATATTCTTCTCAATCTTGACAGTGCATCTCTTTTGAGCACCACCTTCTTAGAGTTGTAATGCATTTTGAACGGAATTATCGGGAGTTATGGCGAAACCATGTAGAAACTGAGCGACCCAACGATGGAGTTGTTAAGGATGAGCTCCTGTTTAACCATGAACGAATGAAGTGTACTTAAAACTACTCACCAACGAAACGGTTCAAAACTTAATCAAATTAAAAATTTAGAACGCCGTGCAAAAATCAAGTTGTTTGTCGTTTTCTTTCGTAGCGAGAGCATGACTTTCTCGCCCTAGTTGTCACCAGCGCTGATCAAAAATTTAAGACATAAACAAGTGCAAAGCCGAGGTATTCTCACATTTTTTATCTTTGACTTCAATTCGCTGAACATTTTTTAATCTCGGTAAAAACGACAACGACAACAAATGACACGGAATAATACAGTTGGTAAGCTTCATAATATTTCATTTTGATAAACTTCAACATGAAGCAAGTTTAATTTATTGATGAACTAATTCACGATAAAATTAACAGCATCCCTCTCTTTGAGTTATCATACAGGGTTAAAGAAATGCATCAAAGAAAAGCCCTTACGTTGTTTAAAGCCAAGCTCAATTAAAAGCGAACTGAGCCATGAAATCTTAGATCACTTGCTAACGATCGTGTTTCCTTTCAGGAATCCAGACTGAATTTAGCTCAAAAAGAACAGTAAATCCAGGAAGAGGCGAGAATCGAAACGTCGCAGGTAATGGGTAAATTGTCGCGGGTCGCGGGTAAACTGTTGTGGGTCCCGAAAATTGTTACAGGTCCAGGAAGATCTATTCTCTTAAATGCAACGATTTTCTCCACAAACGGCTGCTTTGATGCGAACCACATTCCTTGTGCAAATACATTTATGCGCTAGCACTATCCCAACTAACTTTCTAAATTTTTTGATCTTAGAAGTTCCCTGGCTCTGAAATCCTCTTCGATTACTCATTGAACATCATATAATTTTCTTCAAAATCGTTTGTTAAGTTTTGTATGCTTTTTGCTAACCTGGCTTCAGTGGGCTTCTATAAATAAAAGTAGTTTTTAAGTTCAGCTCATAACTGCTTTAAGGTCATTTGTGGTATTCCAGTTTTATTTTTGACAATTTTTTTTTCTGGTTTTACTTATTTCTTTATTTTAATTTTGATGTTCCTAGCTGGCATAAAATAACACTGGCAAACTTTTTCCAAAAATAAAGGTTGTATGGAAATGTGAGCAGAAACCTCAACAGCATCTTGTGCCGCATTCACTGGAAACTGCTGTGATTTTTGCACTAACACTTGTGTCATTGTTGATTTACTGATTGGTAGGCATGCGGTTTGGATCAAAGCAGCTGTTTGTGGGGAGGAGACTTAAAACAGCTGTGAAATGTTAGGGGTCCAGAAAAAACAGGGTTTACAAAATGAGCTGCTCCAAACAATGTATAGATGTGAACACACTAGTTTTATCCTGCTGAGGTTAAAAAATTCCAATCTTTTATCCAGTCCTTCAAATATTTAAAACTATTTTGCATGCGCCCCTTTCTCCCTGCCCTCCTCATGTACTTTTGCTACACAGGCTACCTGTGGAGAGTGCCTTGATTGCACAAACTTCAATCTTTGCCAGATTTCATTGATACGTATCAGTGTTGAAATTCGGGTTGTTAAAAAGCTCTGAATTGTTAGAACTTTGTCTGTTCATCATTTTAAATTGTTGTCTGCTTTTTGTGGTATCGTTCAGGCTTATTTTGATCACTTGAGCCAAGCATCTCTGTTTTAACTGAAAGAAACAATAAAGCTGCAGATGATTTTCCTACAAAAACCACATGGGGTTTGTGCTGTCTGTCTGGCAATAGTTATAGTTATTTTTTGCAGAATCTTGCTGCATGCTATAGCGGTCTACTGATACCTACAGGTGATAGCTCTGAAAGGTAAGTGGTCCTCTTTTTTTCTCTTTTCTTCTTCGTAGCAAATGATGCAATAAAAAATTGAACTTGCATTACCAGACTGTTTGCGCAATTCAGCCTTAATCAAACATAACTGACACTCAACTATGAGCATGACTGATGTGACTGTCACCCTGGCAATTCACAGAATAAATGTTTCACTTCTCCCCTCAAATTAACCTTTCCGAAAATAATCCAGCTCTATTTGCCCTAAAGATGCACCCAAATACATTCTACTCTTTTATACCACAGAACCTTGTATATAAAAAGGCCACTACAAAGACAAGAAGAGAAATAATACAGGACCTCCTTTCAAATGACCCTTGAAATAAATGCCAACAAGTCTAGACTCTAGAAAAGAAGGAAAAAAAAAAGGACAAGCACCAAGATGCTGGGCTTGTAGAAAAATGAAATATGAAGATGAAGTTACTGTCACCATTAAATGACCTTATATCCCTTATGAACAGAATTTTGTTCCAGAAACAATGTTTTATTTTTGTCCAAAGCAACAATGCATAAACAAGATACCACATTGGACTAATATAAAACCACTGGATAGAATCAGAGCTGACAGTTCATTTACTGACATCACTGTGGTAGCTTTCAAAGATGATGGTTAGCCACTTTGCAATTCTGTTGATTGATAATTAAATCTTGAGATGGATGCGCTAATTTGTTAATTTCCTCTTGCAAACAAAAATATTCTTTGGTAATGAAAAAAATGAACATTTATGCAATTTAAGCAATGAAAATTTGAATTTGTTACCAGCTAATTACTTTTTATCAGAAAAAAATTAGAAAAGGTTCAATTTTATGACTAAAGTTCTATTTTTGGACCTATGACAATTTTCTGAACCTGTGACAATTTCCTGAACCTGCAGCATTTTACCTGCGACCCGCGACCTGCGACCCGTGACCCATGACATGCAACAATTAGACACTCCCATCACTGACCAAGTGCTCATGCGTGTGTGTGGTTAAATTCTGGGAGGTTTTGTTGACATAGCTAGCATTACAGCCCACACATAAAAACTTGTAAACCACACACATATAGAGCCCACAAGGGATAGGGTCTTTCACACCAAACATATTGCCTATTTTAAAAGATAAAAAAAACAAACTTAATATCTATGTTGCAACAATAATGCTAAGCAAAGTGGCAAACTCTTTTTTGCTTGCAAACAGAAAACATTGATCTATGAAAACTTGAGAAGCTTGTGTTAAAAAACCCTAACATGGTTTGGTCTTTTGGTTTTTCTGTTTAAACTGATTCATTATAAAACTCATCAATAATTAACTATAAATTATTACAAAACAAACATGATCCATCAGAAGGAAATGTAATGTGCAGAGTCTGGAGTAAATTTAATGAAATATCTTTCACCTGCTTTCTACAAGCCCCAAATCAAAGAATTGTTTGGTAACAAGAAATCAAGTTTACTTTTCAAACTGCATGTTAACCTGATGCCAGATGTGGTTAACATGTAAGTTCTCCCTACAGTATTCATGCATTATCTAGCAAATAGATGTGGAGAACACTCAAATCTATTGGTTAGAGGTTGTTATCTT